CAGTTATTGCAGCAGCGAGAAGAAGGAAGCAAAGAGATTTTAAGTTTAAGCAGATATTTAAACTATTTCATTGTTCTAGTACACACCAACTTTTTATTCTGATGTCATTAATCCTTTTTGATATTTAACCTAAAGACTCTTAGCCAATTCTCCCATGAGCTGTAAAATACACAAAAATGATTGGAATGACTATTCTCTCAGGTTTGCCAAAGATAATATGGTCAAGAGCTGTGACAGGTCTGAAACCTAAATTAGCCTGCCAGAGTTGTACGGATCCTGGCGGAAGTTACAGCATTCCCAGGCCAGAGCCAAAGGCCTCTAATACCCACATCAGTAACAGTGGTCAGAGTATCACTATTTTCTTGTCTTCGTTCCCCAAGTTCCATTTCCCACTGGATGGTGACACCTATTTGGGATAAGAGAGGAGTACAGATTGTCTAGAAAACCCAAATCTTTTCTTATAGATGAAGCCTGTTTTTGTTTTTGTTTTCTCCAAAGAGACAGTCTCTGTCTTCCAAGTTCACTTGCCCTGCAAATTCTCTCAAAAATCCAGTCTAGTACCGAGGTGTCCAGGACCTCTTGCTGATTAGATGTGTAGAAGCATGCGAGTCCTATGGAGAACTGTCTTCCACCAGACACATGGACAGAACCATTCTAGAAGAGAGAGATGGCTAATTCATTACACAGATGGAGGCCTTAGGGCTTGGGGCTGTCTTAGGGTTCAGGCTGGGAAACCACTATGGCTGCCATTCTATGGTAACTGCCCCTCAGAATCTTTTAATTATACAAAATAAGGGGTTTCATTATATTTCCATACATATACAAAGTGTACTTCAGCTGCATTCTCCCTCATTACTCTTCTCGCTCCCTCTCCCCTTCCTGCTTGTCCCTTTCCCACCTAACAGCCCCCTCCTTATTTTGCTTTCATGCCTTCTTTTTTTTGTTCAAAATATTGTAAATCAAAGAAGAGAAAGAGGATAGCAGAAATTCTGTTATAATAGTATTTTCTTCCACTCTTTCTGAAGAAAAGGTAGTTAGGCTAGTTTAACGAATAAAGTGTTAAAAAAATTTAAGCAGTGTTACATAAAGTAACCAAATTCTGGATGGTTGCATGATTAGTATCGTATGTACACTTATTTGCTTCTAAAAAAGCTAGGCAATTTGCCTTCAAGAGACAGTTGTGAGTTGGAGTATCCTATCACTTCTGTGGTGGTAGACATGAATTTTGAAGAGTTGTGTGCATTTATTTGCCCGTTTCTTGCCTTATCTCACACTCTTTGAGAGGGTAAGACTGTGAAGTTTCTTCTGTCCAAGCCTCTGCGCTGCTCATTTTTCATACCTTCTTTTGCCATGCAGGTCTCTCTCCGAGGCTTCCGGCCCTCCATGACTCTTGTGCCTCTTTTCCAGAGACTGACTTACATTTTGTCACCTTTTGTGAATATTGCAGTTCACCAAATGTGTGCTCCTGTGGGGCCCTAAAGTCCAGAGGAGAAGTATCCAACTGAGGCTTCTGAGATACTGCATGTGGGGTGGGGAGCTCAGGAGCACAGACACAGAAATTGAAATGGAAATGAGGTTCCTGAAAGGTTATCTTTATGCACTAGCCAGTATGAGATCACATAGCACATGCATGTTGAACAGGAACAGGAACATAGCAGAGAGCAAGGTGCATTTTGTGAACTTGACCATGGGCAGAGATTGCTAAGTGTGAGTTGCTGTTTTGGGACAAGCTGGGGAAAGTCACACTAAGGAACAGGCCCTTACCGCCTGGGTCTGTTTTTCCAGTAACAGTTTCATTTTCTAAACGTGAAGGGTGTGGTCCCCCTTCATAAACAAAGAAACAAAATGAAAGAAAGTTGTGAGGGTTAAGTAGATAATAGCGGTGCAATTTATGATCTTCATTTTTAAAAGGCCCATAGCTGTAGTCATGTTGTTTGTCTTCATCTGTAGCTGTCCTCCTCCTAAGCAGATGGATGACCATCCTTTAATCTCTTCACTATTTATGGCTAGGCAGACATGATGAGGGTGTGGCTCCACAGCTCATCTGTAGCCACTGCTATCACCCCACTTCAGGTACCTTGAATCATTTGCTGTGAGATTAAATGGCAGTTGTTTGGCTGTGGCCTTAAATTCCCATCAGAGCTTCCCTTGTCCCTCCTCCCTTCTCGCTTCTTGGTTAGTAAGGCATCATTACAGGTTCATTTCCTGCTAGAGAATTGTCTTTTGTAGCTGGGTGGTTCAGGTCATTCTAAGATTTATAGGTTTATTGGCTTGTGATGAAGCAAGTTTTTGACTCCCAAATGAATGGCCAGATAGACAAATTATAAATAAGTTCTTCAAAGAATAGTATTTTTAATGAAATTCCTGTTATTAAATATCTGCCAAGTTAGTAATGGAGCACTTCTTACACCTGATGCATAAAGTCCATTTGGTTTTAGAACTCCTCAATTGGTTGCACACATGCTGGCCAAAGGCTTCATATGCCTGGCATTCTATCTGGCTTAGTCAGGACTAAAAAAGAAGGAAAGACTTGAACTTGCCATGAAGGCAAGAGAAATAGCTGACATCAGAGAGCCATAATCCCAGCTTGCCCTCCCATTTATTGGTATGACAGGCCTTCGCAGGTCTCTGGCTTTCCCTGTTGGCTAAGAAACAGGGAGCCTGATAGGAGAGGACAGTCTTAAGACAGAAGCCAGGAGTGCAATGTGGCTGAGTTGGCCTAGACAGCTGGAGAAGAGCACCTGTTCTTGTAGAGAGGACAGGTTGTGTAGACTGCTGTCAGGTCCTTGTATATGAGTAGCTGGGATAAAAGAGCTGGGGGAGACCATGCTGGCAGCACAAGCAGGAAGCGCTGAGGGCGGGCCCTTCTCGTGAAGGTGGGAGGACAGAAAGGGGCAGCTTGGGAGCTGTTTTGAAATGAAAGTAGGTGGGAGTCCTGCCCTAGAAGAGAGTCCGAGACAGTGCTCAGAAATGTGGAAGGAAAGGAAGCTGTTCATGGAAGTGGGTTTGAGGAGGGCGAGTTTGTGGTAAAGAGCATCTAGATGTGACAAAGTGAGCATATATTGTTAGAAATAACTGAACTGAAGGGGCTGGTCATAGGGGAGGAGCTCATTATCAGAGTGCTTGCCGAGCATGTGCAGGCCTCTGGGTTCCCTCCCTATGTGCTTTCCATATTTTTTAAAAATATTTTATTATTTTTGTTTTATGTGTATGCGTGTATTGCCTGCATGTAGGTAAGTGCACCCATGTCATGCAATGCCCACGGAGGTCAGAAGAGGCTTTCAGATCCCCTGGAACTGGAGTTACAGACAGTTGTTA